GCTGAAGTTTTATAAACGGAACAACCAAGCACAATGGTCAGTGAAAAACAAAAAGGCAAGATGTAAAACATATCTGCAGTGTGGTCCTATTTATGTCAACATATATTTGACGGAAAAAGTTTACAAAAACCCATCAAAAAGCAACCAGCACTTGCCTGCGAGCTGCAGGGTTACAATGATATTATTTTTTTCCTCTATTTCCCAGTTTTTCTACCACATATATGAAGTATCTTTAAAGTTACGAGAGAAGGCAACAAAGGTCGTTTTATGTGGGAGAAAGATCCACTGATAACCAGCCTTGGCATTAAACAAGAGGGCCTTCCAGTGACCCTGGCCCTGTCCTCGTGCTGTGTACGCCTCCCTCAGGAGGGACAGGAAGGAGGCAGGGACGATGAAAGACGAGGAAACACTGGGGAGGGAACTCCCTGGCAGTCAAGTGGTCAGGACCCTGCACGTTCACTGCCGAGGGCCCAGGTTCAATCCCTGATTGGGTAACTAAGATTGCGCAAGCTGCATAATGGCTTTAAAAAAACACCAAACAAACCCACTTTGGGGCAGTGGCATGCCAGTAAATGAATCCCACATGAAAACCACCCATAACAAATAACAGGGGGTATTACACAGGTGTTAGATGATGGATCTTGATGAACACATACACAAAACATGGTCCATTCACATGACGGAATATTATTCACTCAAAAAAAAGAGAATGAAGTCCTGACACAGCTACAAAGTGATGAACCTTGAAAACATTATGTCCAGTGAAAGAGGCCGGACACAAAAGGCCACAATTGCATCAAACATCTAAAATAGGTAAATCCACCCAGACAGAAAGTAGAGTACTCATTGTTAGGGGAGTCTCTCCCTTGGGGAGAAGCCACGGACTCTTAGAAAATGTGGGCGCTGAAACAAAGCTTTAGTGCAGGGCCAACATGCTCATGGGCTTCCCTGGTGGCTCAGTGGTAAAGAATCCACCTGCAGTCCCGGGTTCGATCCCTGGGTTGGGAAGATCCCCTGGAAAACGAAATGGCAAGCCACTCCAGTATTCTTGCCTGGGAAATTCCATGGACAAAGGAGCCTGGTGGGCATAGTCCATGGGGTCACAAAAGTGTTGAACATGACTTAGTGGCCGAAGAAAATGCTCCACATTTCAGAGCACAGAGGAAGGGACTTGTCTTTCTGTCAAGTCTCCAGCATGGAGATCTTGCCACCCTGATCACATCACTGCCTCTCAAAACTCTTGGGTGCCTACAGAGTTTCTCAGAACAGCCAGGAGGAAACCCTGCCGAAGCTGCCTCTCACCTGACTCGGAAACAGCCCCTTTGGAGCAGCAGCTCGGGTTGCCTGACACACAGGGGCTCACCTCCCTTCCAGGCCTCTGCAGTTCTTTCCTGCGTCCTCAAAGGGCTGGCTCTGCCCGGGCCTTCAGAATGCAGAGTCTCTTCTGCATCTGGGAGCACAATGCCTCACGTTACCTACCGTCAGCTCTGGGAGTATAACTGGGACTCCTCCTTGCTAGTAGGCTGTGAGCCCCATAAGGGCAGAGATGGAATCTGGGTTTCTGCTTCGAGCTATACTCGAGCTATACTCGTGGTCCCTGGCCCACAAATGGTCAGCAGTAAATAACCACGGACTGAAAGAGGTGGCAGCCATCCTCTGGGATCCCACACATCCTGTGTTTCTCTCCTGCCCCACTGAGCCTCCTAAAAGAGTGTACCTGTGTCCCTCTTGCACCATCAGGCTGGAGTCAGATGCAGCAACATCTCAACTGCTCTCACAAGCAAAACCTTCTGCTGGTGACCTTCTAAGACCCTAACCCAGCCTCAGGGCAGACTTACTCGCCAGGATGCGGGGGCTGAGGGCTGGCCACCTGATTCTGCTTGGCCTTCTGCTCCATTCTGGCCTCAATTTCCCGTTTTTTCTGAGCAATGAGCTCCTCCTGGTGAAGGATGTTCATGTTCATTTTTCCAGACTTGGGAGGAGCAACCCCAAACCACCGGTTAGCCTTTCCTGGGGAGGGAAAAGAAGTACATCAGAAATCACCTTTGCTCTGAAGAAATACAGATGACCGACAGGTACATGAAAAGATGCTCAACAATGCTAATTATGAGAGAAATGCAAATCAAAACTACAGCGAAGTACTGCCTCACACCACTCAGAATGACCATCATTAAAAAGTCCACAGAAAACATATATTAGAGAGGATGTGGAGAAAAGGGAACCTTCCTACACTGTGGGTGAGAATGAAAGTTGGTGCAGCCATTATGGAAAACAGTATGGAGGTTCCTCAGAAAACTAAAAATATAATTACCATATGCTCTTGCAATAACACTCCCGGGCATGTATCGAGACAAAACTATAATTCAAAAAGATACATGAACTCCTATGCTCACAGCAGCACTATTCACAACAGCCAAGACACAGAAACAACCTAAATGACCACCGACGAATGAATGGAAAAAGACGTCATACGTATGTACAATGGAGCATTACTCAGCCATAAAAAATAGTGAGATAATGCCACTTGCAGCAACATGGATACAACCAGAGATTATCATACTCAGTGAAGTAATTCACAAAGACAAATACCATACAATCACTTCTATTTGGAATCTAAAATATGACAGAAGTGCACCTATCTATAAAACAGAAACAGAATCAGGGACATAGAGAATAGGCTGGTGTTTGGATTAGGAGTCTGGGATTACCAGATACAAACCCATATTTATAGAATACATAAACAACAAGGTCCTACTGTACAGTACGGACAAGGATATTCATATCCTGTGATATAATGCAAAAGAACATGGAAAAGAATGTATATATATGTATGTATAACTGAATCACTATGCTGTACAGTAATAATAAACACAACATTGCAATTCAACTATACCTCAAAAAAAAATAAATTAAAAAAAAAAAGAAACAAATCACCTTCGCTCCACAAACATGACCAGCAGCTGCTACACGGTGCGGCCCAGATGCTGCTGCCTGCAGCAACTGGCATTCAGATTGACATTCATTCACATTCACACATCTGTTCATTTGTTTAGCAAGCATTTACTGAGTTAGGCACCGGGTGCTGTACTTGGTGCTAAACAAGACAGATGGAGCTCTGCTCATGTGCGATTCACCTCTGGCTGAGGATACAACAGACTTACAAGAAGAAAGTAGTTGCAAAATCATTAAGAGCTCTCTGCTGGAAACATACAAAAATGGTGAGAAGGAATAACAGAGGAACACCTATAGAGCTAAGGCAGCCAGAAAACAGCTGTTAGAAGAGGGGACATTTAAGCTAAAACCGGAAAGATAAAGAGCCAGCTTCCTGAAAAGCCACAGGGGGACTGATCTGGGCAGAGCAAGAAGCCCAAGGGACCAGCAAGGGTCCAATGTGGTCAGACGGGACAGTTCCGGGGTGGGCCTCACATGGAGTGGTGGGAGAAGATAGGGAGTCTGAGTTTTACTTAAAGGGTTTTAAGAAGCCACAGGGGAGTATTAAGTTGTAAGATCCAACTGGTACTTTTATTTGTAAGATCATTCTGGCTACTGATTGAACAGAGTAAGGAGGAGACGACCAGGAGGCTTACTGGCTGTAAGCAAAAGATGATGGTGTCTTCAGACAAGGGTGGTAGTTGTGGAGATAGAAAAGACACCTTGAAGGTTCCTTGTGGGGCTCAAAATAAAATCCAAACTCTGAAAGCTGATTTTCAAGGTCCTGACAGAGATAACCCCCCCTTCCCACTTCCAGCTCATCCCTGATATTCCTCAAAATAAGAAACCCTCAAAGACTTTGCACTTGCTGTTCCTCTCTCCATGGAAGGCTCTGCCTTCCAATAGTTGGCACCTTCTCATCTCAAATGTCTTCTGCTCAAAAAGGCCTTCCTTGACCACTCAATATCAGCAGCCTCCATTTCCACTCTCTCAAGTCACTATAACTCTCTGTAAATATTTCCTCCTTGTGCATTGCATGATGCCTCGGTAAAAATAACCTTCAGTAAGACACGACCCCATTTTGGATACCACTGCATCCTCAGCAACTAACACTGTGCCTAGCACATAAAGAATATTTGTTGAATGCATACCGGTCTCGGGGCGCTAGAACTAGGAGAGAGGGAAGGGCAAGGTTTATGGTAAAAGGCGCGGGGGGGGGGGGGTGCTCTAAAGACCCAGAAAAATGTGTACAGGGAGTCAGAGTGCAGTTCGGAAAAGCAGCTTTTCCAGAAAGTGGGATAGAGGCCAGGAAGGAGCTACTACGAAGAGGGGGCGCAGAACAGAAGAAGGTTGCCGCTGGCTCGGGGAGCGGAGCTTGGAGCAGCCCTTAAGGCGGTTAGCTCGGAAAGCAGGCGCAGGGCAAATACCGGCGGTGGCCTTTGAGGAAAGCCTGGCGTCCTCACCAAACCAGCGGTGGGGGCGGGGAGGATAACTGGGTCTCGGGGTGGGGGTGGGGGGTCCCAGGAGACTGGGGTGGTGCAGAAGCCGCCTCTTCCAGACGCCTGGAGGCTGAGGCTAAGGGCCAACGGGTTGAGATAGGCCCGACGGGATGGCGAAGCAAAGACGCGTAGCCGGAGGACCCAGGCGGACGCTTGAGGGAAGGCGGGGGCTGTTACCTGCAACATCCCGGTTGTCCATCTTGAGACTCATCCAATCCCACAATGCTCCGGCGCCACCGGAGGTGGGGGGGGCTTGTTATAGTGCGCATGGTCTGATGGGAGATGTAGTCCGCCTCGGCAAGCCAAGCCCTACCATTGCTTGGACACCTGGGGTCTTCCCCCCAGGGACGCAAACCTCAGCCCATCGGCAATCTGTGGTCTCAGTTTCGCGGACCAGAGAGTGTCGCTTTTCTCAGACCTTCCTGGAGCCGCGGTCACTTCAAACACAAACTACATATTCCAGGATGCTTTGTGCATCAGCTCTCGCGAGAAAGGCGAGGAGCTCCGGCCCTGCCCCACGCTCCTGTTTCCGCCTCCCTGTGGCGGCGGCTTGTTGTTGTGGAGGCTAAAATGGCGGCTCAAGCTGCGGCGGCGGCTCAGGCTGCGGCGGCCCAAGCAGCGCAGGCCGAGGCGGCTGAGTCGTGGTACCTGGCGCTCTTGGGCTTTGCCGAGCACTTCCGCACTTCCAGCCCGCCCAAGATCCGCCTGTGCGTGCACTGCTTACAGGCCGTGTTCCCCTTCAAGCCGCCTCAGCGCATTGAGGCCCGAACACATCTGCAGCTCGGCTCAGTGCTCTACCACCACACCAAGAACAGCGAGCAGGCGCGCAGCCACCTGGAGAAGGCGGTGAGCGTGGGCTGGGCCGCGAGGGAGGAGGCACGGGTTCCTGTCCGAGCTTGAGTTGACGGGCCGCGACCCTGGCGGGCGGGGGCCGCCGCCGGCCGCTCCTCCGAAACCTGGGGCGTGACTTCCGCACGAGCAGCAAGACCCCCAAAGCTGTTAGCGTCTCAGGGGATCCGAGGGCCTCGCCCCGTACCTTACTAGGTATTTCTGGTGACAGCCAGAGGCCTAGGACTCCGCTCAGGGTACTCCGAGAGTTGCCTCTTTCACGAGCAATAGGGTCCCCAAATTCATTAGGTTTTCAAGATGTCATTTTTGGGAATCTCTGGGGACGCCGCCAGATCGGCCAGTGGGTCCTATAGCTTCTAGCTCCTCAGGGCTCAGCGCTGGGAGCTTCAGCCTGAACGCTCCCTTCTGAGGTGACTTGGGATAGAGGAGGGTCAAGGTAACCCCAGGTAACAGTCCAGGCATCCTTTGAGAACCTGAAATTTGGCTTCCAAGGAAATCTAGGAAGGTCTCGCCCAGGACATAGAAGTCTGAGAAGGACTTCCATACGGAAGATAGTGTGCCCCCATTAGTGATGAGGGGAGTCATAGGCGGGAGGCAGACCCTAGAGATGGTGGTTTGATGTCTTGAAAAAAGCAGAACTGAGGGTTGCGGGGTCTCGATTTCAGGGCTCAGGACTCCTGCTTTCTCCACAACCACCTGTAAGTTCTCTTCCTCCCGCCATCCACTGGTCCATCCCCTTCAGAGGGCAGGCCCCATCTTCCCACGATGACTTGTGGGATCTTGGTGCCCCAAAGAATGTGGGAAAGTGGCCATCCCTCTGCCTTCTGGGTCTGTGGAGTTGTTCCTTTCAGAGCAACACTGCTCCTGTCAGACGGTGTTTCCAAATGCCATTTACATTTATTCAGCTTAGAAGAGAGACTTCTTGAGTAGAATCAACGACCATGTAAAAAATGTCTTGATCCGAGGTAAATCTGAATTCACCTGTGGCTAGTAACAAGTTGCCTTGGGGAGGATAATCAGATCTGTGTTTTGCAGACTGTAGAGTTGGATGGGGCTTTTGTCCTTGCTTGATCCACTTCCTTGTTTAAGGAGTGAGTCAGTATGGCCCCTGAGAGGTGAAGTGATTTGCCCAAAGCCACACAGCAAGTTATTAACAAAATTGGTCTCACAGGTAGGCTCAAGACCACCAGGGTGGATGCCACGAGATTAAGTCGTCATTTTTGTGAAGTTTGTTTCTTCCGTTCATTCAGCAGATAATTTAATCAGCTCACACTGGGTACCAAGCCCTGTTCTAGGTGCTGGGGATCAGCAGTGACTAATAAAACAGTCCCTGCCCACATAAGCTTGTGTTTTTGTGAGGGAGACAGTGAATATATGGTGAAAGATTAGGCAGTGTTCGAAGAACTGTTAAACATGTGGACCAGGATGAAGGTTGGAGTTGACAGGAAGCTATTTTTGGCAAAGGTAATCAGGGAGTCTCTATTTGTGGGAGTGACCTTGGAACAGAGGCCTGAATGAGGTGGAGGAAGCAAGCCTTGAGGAACTGCTCCAGGTTTCAGGTCAATCCCTAGAAGTACCCCAGTTGTCAGTGACTAGTTGATATCAGGGTTTTTCCTAGACAGCGATGAGGCTGAGAGCAAATGACGTGTCAGGCTTCGTTGGGTGTATGAAGGGTGGAGGCTGTGACTGCTGAGGCCTGGCAGCCCAGGGCCTTCAATAGGCATGCTGGTTATAAAGCTGTCCCTTCTCTCAATTAACAACAAATCCTGCCACCTCCTTTCTCTGGTGTCCAGGCCATTCAGCCTGTTTTTTTTTTCTTTTTTTTAATTGAAATATGTTTTTTTTTTTTTTAATTTTGTTTGGCCATGCTGTGCGGCTTGTAGGATCTTACGTTTCCCAACTGGGGATTGAACCCAGGCCACAACTCAGTGAAAGCACTGAGTCCTAACCATTCAACTGTCAGGGAATTCCTAGTTGAATTGTAGTTGACATAACAATACAGTAAGTCCCCTACAAACAAATGACTTTTGTTCTAAGAGCACATTCGCAAGTCCAATTTATTCTAAGGCCAACAAAGTTATCCTAGGTACCCAATTAACACAACTGACTGTATAGTACACAACCTGTACTAACAGGTTTGTAATACTTTTCACACAAATGCTACATAAACAGACACACACAAAAAAATAGTTTTAACTTTACAGTACAGTGCCTTGAAAAGCAGAGTAGCACAGTACAGCAGCTGGCATACAGGGACTGGCAGCAGTGCCACCGATATCACCACTGCCTTGTACTTGCTTCTGAACATCCTGGGCTTGCAGTGAAAACGCTGTACTCCATCCACTACTGTACAGTGAAGTACACGGACGGGCAGCCACTTGTAGAGGGCGTATTCACATGATAGAGTGCGCCAGACAGGTGAACTAGCTTATGAGAGTGGACACATGAACACACAGTCACATCTTTGGAAGGTCTAAGCTTGAAGGGTTCATGTGTAGGGGGCTTACTGCTTTGTGTTAAGTTTCAGGTATATTATGTAGAGCTTTGACATTTGCGTGTGTTGTGGAATGATCACCATAATAAGTTTAGGAACCATCTGTCCTCATACAGTTATTACAGTATTATATGGACCATATTCTTTATGCTGTGTATTACATCTCCATTGAGTTGCTTGTTTCATAACTGGAGGTTTGTACTTCTTAACCACTACCACCTATTTCACCCACCTGGCAACCGTTGTCTATTCTCTGTATATATTAGTGTGTTTTCATCTTGTTTGCTTATTTTGTTTTTTAGATTCCACATATGTAATCTTTGTCTGGCTTATTTGACTTAGCATAATACTTTCTAAATCTGTGTTGTCGCACGTGGCAAGATTTCATTTTTTCTTTTAAAGGTTTTTTAAATTTGATATGGACCTTTAAAAAAAATTATTTATTGTCTGTGCTGGGTCTTTGTTGCTGCGAGCAGGCTTTCTCTAGTTGTGGCAAGCAGGAGCTACTCCTTAGCTATGGTGCGTGGGCTTCTAATTGTTGTGACTTCTCTTGTTGCAGAACATGGGCTCTAAGACATGCAGGCTTCATTTGTGGCACACGGGCTCAGTAGTTGAGGCACATGGTCTTAGTTGCCCATGGCATGTGGAATCTTCACAGACCAGGGGTTGAACCCATGTCCCTTGCATTGGCAGGTGGACTCTTAGTCACTGGACCACCAGGGAAATCCAAGGTTTCATTATTTTAATGGCTGATTAACATTACCTTGTATGGTAGCCATTCCCTTCTCCAGGGGACCTTCCTAACCCAGGCATTGAACCTGGGTCTCATGCACTGCACGCAGGTTTTACTGTCTGAGCCACCAGGGAAACCCCCAGTATTACCTTGTGTGTGCACCTCATCGCTTTATCCACTCAGCAATCAGTGGACACTTGGGTTGCTTCCATAGCTCACCTATTGTATTAATAAATAATGTTGCAGTGAACAATGGGGTGCACGTTTATTTTTGAGTGTTTTTATTTTTATCAGGTAAATACCCGAAAAGTAAAACTGCTGAATCCTGTGGTAATTCTATTTTTTATTTTTTTTAGGAACTTCCGTACTGTTTTCAATAGTGGCTGCATGAATTAACAGTGCTACCAACAGTGCACAAGGGTCCCCTTTTCTCCACATTCTGACCAGCACTTGTTGTTTGTTGTCTTTTTGATGTTAGCCATTCTGACAGGAGGTGGTATCTCACTATAATTTTTTTTTTCTCACTAGTTTTTTATTTGCATTTCTGTGATAATTACTATCTTTTCATGTGTCTATTCATCTGTTCATGGCCACTTGTATGTATTCTTTGGGAAAATGTCTCTTCAGGTCCTTCATCCATTTTTTAATTGGATTGTTTGGTTTTTTTGATGTTAAATTGTAAGAGTTTTTTTGTATATTTTGGATATTAATCTCTTACTGGATATATCATTTGCAAATACATTTGACCTTCCATATCAGTGAGTTTCACATCCTTGGATTCAACCAACCAAGGATATAAGGGCTGATTATATTCATTGTGCAAATTAGGTTGATGTAAATGTAATTATGGTTTTGGACCGTGAATTTTAAATCATTATATCTTGGCTCAAACACATTTTTATTAATCAAAATAGGAACCACTACAATCAACACATTTTTGCCGACAAAAAATCAGTTTGTTTATTCCTATAGTATGAAAATCCATGCTTTGAGATTTGACAAACTCTTTTTTTTTTTTTTACAAACTCTTGAAAAGCATTTTCTGCCTCTTGCTGGTTGTGGAAGCATTCTCCCTGCAAAAAGTTGTTTAGATGCTTGAAGAAGTGGTAGTCGGTTGAAAATGGTGAATATGGCGGATGAGGCAAAACTTCATAGCCCAATTCGTTCAACTTTTGAAGCATTAGTTGTGCAACATGCAGTTGGGTGGTGTTGTCGTGAAGAATTTCTGTTGATCTATCTCTTTGTGAGAGAAGCCCTTTCTGTTGACCAGTGCCAGCTGCAGTTTTCGGTGTGTCTCATCCATTTGCTGAGCATACTTCTCAGAGATGTGATGGTTTCGGTGGGATATGTGAAGCTCTAGTGGATCAGACGGGCAGTAGACCACCAAAACAATGGCCATGTCATTTTTTTGGTGCAAGTTTGGCTTTGGGAAGTACTTCTCAGTCTAGCCACTGAGCTTGTCATTGCTGGTTGTCGTATACAATCCACTTTTAGTCACATGTCACAATCCAATTGAGAAATGGTTTGTTGTTGCATAAAATAAAAGAAGACACTTCAGAATGAGTTGGTTTTTTTATTTCTGGTCAGCTCATGAGGCACTCACTCACTGAGCTTTTTCACCTTTCCAATTTGCTTCAAATGCCAAGCGACCACAGAATGGTTGACATTGAGTTCTTCTCATGAGAGGGTCAGCTTTGATGATGGCTCTCAATTGTCATTGTCAGCTTCCAGTGGCTGGCCACTACTTTTCTCATCTTTAAGGCTCTCGTC